TTAAGAACTCATTCTGGTTGTTCCCTCAGATGAAGAAAGAGTTAATGACTTCTGAATGTTAGGTGAATCATTCACTTTTCTGCAGCTGCTCTTGCTTAGGTGTAAGAACCCTCTTAGGAACATTTTCCAAACTCCACCTTTTTTTTTTTTTACCTTTTTTTAAAATTTATTTTTTATTATGTTCAATTAGCCACTGTGTAGTACATAATTAGTTTTTGATGTAGTGTTCAGTGATTCATTAGTTAAGTATAATACCCAGTGCTCATCACAGCATGTGCTCTCCTCAATACCCATCACATTGTTACCCCTTCACCTTACCTTCTTCCCTCTGAAATCCCCGGATTGTTTCTCGGTGTCATAGTCTCATGGTTCATCTCCCTCTCTGATTTCTCCCCCTTTGGATTTCCCACCCTTCCTCTATGGTCCTCTATGCTATTGCTTATATTCCACATATGAGTGAAACCATATGGTAATTGTCTTTCTCTACTTGACTTATTTCACTTAGCATAATCCCCTCCAGTTCCATCCATGTTGATGTAAATGATAGGTATTCATCCTTTCTGAGGGCTGAATAATATTCCATTGTATATATGGACCACACCTTCTTTATTCATTCTTCTTTAGAAGGACATCTCAGCTCCTTCCACAGTTTGACTATTGTTGGCATATCTGCTATTAACATTGTGGTGCATGTGGCCCTTATTTTCACTACCTCTGTATCCTTGGGGTAAATAGCCAGTAATGCAATTGCTGGGTCATAGGGTAGCTCTATTCTTACCATCTTGAGGGACCTCATGCTGTCTTCCAGAGTGGCTATACCAACTTGCATTCCCATAAACAGTGTAAGAAGTTTCCCCTTTCTCCATATCTTTGCCAACATTTGTTGCTTCCTGTTTTGTTAATTTTTGGCATTCTAACTGCTGTAAGGTGGTATATCATTGTGATTTTGATTTGTATTTCCCTGATAGCTGGTGATGTTGAAAATTTTTTTTCATGTGTCTGTTAGCCATTTGTTTGTCTTTTTGGAGAAGTGTCTGTAGGCCAGTGGAACAGAATAGAGACTCCAGAAATAGTCCCTCAACTGTATGGTAAACTAATCAGGAAAAAATATCCAATGGAAAAAAAGACAGTCTCTTCAATAAGTGGTGCTGGGAAAATTGGACAGCTATATATAGAAGAATGAAACTGGACCATTCTCTTACACTATACACAAAGATAAACTCAAAATAGATGAAAGACCTCAATGTGAGACAGGAATCCATCAAAATCCTAGAGGAGAACATAGGCAGTAACCTCAACACTGGCCGCAGCAAATTCTTTCAAGACATGTCTCCAAAGGCAAGAGAAACAAAAGCAAAAATGAACTTTGGGGAATTCATCAAGATAAAATCTATTGCACAGCAAAGGAAACAGTCAACAAAACTAAGAGGCAACCCATGGAATGGGAGAAGATATTTGCAAATGGTATTACAGATAAATGGCTGATACCAAGATCTATAAAGAACTTCTCAAACTCAACACTCAAAAAACTAATAATCCAATCAATAAATGGGCAAACTCCACTTTTTAAAAATTTTTTTATTAACTTTTAAATTGTTTTATAAACATACAATGTATTTTTATCCCCAGGGGTACAGGTCTGTGAATCGCCAGGTTTACACATTTCACAGCACTCACCATAGCACATACACTCCCCAATGTCCATATCCCACCACCCTCTCCCTACCCCTCTCCCCCCAGCAACATTCAGTCTGTTTTTTGAGATTGGATCTTTTATGGTTTGTCTCCCTTCTGATCCCATTTTCTTTCATTTTTTTCTTTTCCTACCCTCCAAGCCTCCCATGTTTTTAAAAAGATTTTATTTATTATTTGGGAGAGAGAGAGAGAGAGAGAGAGAGAGAGAGAAAGGAGAGGGGTAGAGGGAAAAGGAGAGACAGAATCTCAGGCAGACTCCCTACTGAGCACAGAGCCCAACATGGAGCTTGATCACAAAACCCTAAGATCATGACCTGAGCTGAAATCATGAAACACATGATTAACTGACTGAGCTGCCCAGGTAACCTTCCAAAGCCCACTTTTATGTTCACTTTCAGAAAACTACTTTCATTCACCAAAAATAAATTAGTAGAGTACTTATGAAAAATAGGACACAGGTATGTGTATAAAATGAATATTGTTTTGCAATTTTGAGTTATGAAATAATTAAGATGCATAGTAATGAACAAAACAATCAGCAATCTGTGCTGAATTAGGAGCATTTAGCCTACACCCAGAGTCCTAGAAGCTATCAAACCTCCTCTTTTTCAGGCAACACATGGAATGGGAGAAGATATTTTCAAATAACAGTACAGACAAAAGGTTGATATCCAGGATCTATAAAGAACTTCTCAAACTCAACGCACACAAAACTGATAATCATATCAAAAAATGGGCAGAAGATATGAACAGACACTTCTCCAATGAAGACATACAAAAGGCTATCAGACACATGAAAAAATGTTCATCATCACTAGCCATCAGGGAGATTCAAATTAAAACCACAGTGAGATACCACCTTACACCAGTTAGAATGG